TTGAATCTTTTCTTAGTCTTTCTGTACTTCAGATGTCTTTTACTCTCCATTTAACCTCATTGACATTTAAGAGACACTACTGAGATAATAAAGAGATCTCATTTGTGATTTCTCTGTCCTGCGTGTCAGAGAACCATTTGCCTGCTGCAAGAGATGAATACGACCACTTCTGCATCGTATGGTGCGAGTTATTATGTCTCTTCCACAGACGTCAAAGCGTTATGTATGAATTTCTGGAGAGCAGGGCGCTAAGTAGCCATTAGCTCCTGGATGAACCCGATGCTGAGATTCAGCGCTTCTTTCACGACTCTAAATAAACTGAACTTCTGCAATCATCACGGGTGGCTTCAAGAATGACAGACTGGAAATGGGATTTTGCTGGAGAGCAGAGGAATCTCTAAATGGGGAAGGCAGGAGGGATATTTGGCCATTTACCCCATAAAGATTTCATTTGACAACCCTTCAAACTCCACCCACTGCTGCAGTATCTGTGTGAGCGTGTGTGTGTGTGGGTTAGTGAGTAAATCAGGTGTCAATCTGGCTTGTTATAGTCTAGTTTGGTGCCTTGAGTGGGTCTTCCAGGTAGAGAACACCTACACGACAAACTTTCATGTGTGGGCGAGTGTGAATTAGACAGCTGTAAAGTGCCATGGCTCAGTCACCGAATTCATGACAGCAAACGAATGAATATCAGTGAAAATGGTGAAAATATATTCCCACATTTATTCCCAGATGGTGCGATTTTCGTTCGGAGCAAAACACAGCTTGTCGCAAATAATGTGCCTCAGGACAGACAGAATATTGATGTCTTTTGTCTTTAGTGAATGTGATTTGGAGTGTGTTTGGTAATGTGTGTTTTGACTGGCGCTAAGATTGGATGCTTTTGATTTGTCATCTGCTCATGAGCCTTATTCACATGAGACTGATTTTTCTCTGACAAATTAGATTTTCACAGATGTACTTTGTGATTTAATTCTCATCTGAATCAAACACTTTTTTGTGTTTTTCTCATGCAGTCTCTGTGAAAGTGCAAATTACCTGTTTTCTGCTCTTTGAGAAATCTAATCTCATCCAGATAGGAATGACTGTGGTTGCAGTATATTATTTTTTAATGAACTGGAGGAAATATTTACAGCAATTATTTGATCTGATTTAAAAGAGTTAAGAGCTTTTACCCAAAATTGGATTAAAAATGCAAAATAACTTCGTGAGATTATGGACACCAGTCGCTGAATTAAAATACTATAGAGTGAGGTCATGTCAGGGTTATTTTAGTTAACTACAGCTAAAACTAAATCCATTAAAAAAATTGTTACTTGAAAATAAATATTTTTATTTTCCTTGCATTTGGAAGGAAAACTACATTTTCCTTGCGTTTTCCAATTATAAATGTGATTTTATTTTTATCTCTTTTTTTCAGTCATTATTTAACCAGACTGCTAATAGAAAAAATATTTTTTTTATTAAATATTTTTTTAATTAAAAAACGATTAAATATTTTAAATTATATTATATAATTATAATTATATAAATTATAACTGTGATTTTTGTGACACTTAAAAAAATATTAATTATAAAATATTTTAGAATTAATAATTATTAAATATTTTATAACTATTTGAACAGACAAAATATAATCATTTTTTAAAAATGAAATCTTTTATTCAAAAAAATGATAAAATATAGTTTTTTTTCTTGATTATTTTTTTTTTTAAATAAGGCATTGTACAGTATATGCTGCGCATTATACAGTAACTAGTAAGTGTTCCGTTTTGAAAATAACCACACATTATTTTTAAAGAAATTGCAGGTATGGTGCAGTCTATATATCCCAAAGCATGAAACATGATTATCAGAAATGTTATGCTGTTCTGCTGCAAGTGAGGTAGAACCTTCAAAATTTCTAAAATTGTCCCAATTTGTTGGTGTTTGCTGACGAAGCAGGACTCGGCGTAGCGTGGCGCTAAAATAAGCCCCTGACCCTGTGACATCAGTTCCTTTCAGCGTTTTCTTCTGCTCATATTGCTGTTAGTGCCCGCAGAGAATGTGGTCATGAATAATTTAGAGGTCCTTCACAAGGGGGCCTCAAACTGGGTCTTTCTTAGAGACGAGACTGATGGACCTTGATGGAGGTATTCTGGAATTGTAGAATATTTTGCATTTCTTATATTTGTTTCTTAAAATGCAGTAATGCAGTGAACATTCTTATGATGATGTATGGTTCTCTATGATGTCATAGTTGTGTCTCAGTGTGAACGTGGAAAAACAAGCCTGTCTGTTTGCTGACGTTGTGTAGGATTCAATCCCTCCGCAGAATATATTCCCATTAGACACCAAATAGTTAAAATACAGATTACCCCTGGTGTTAGATGCTGTAACTACTCCTTTATGCCGCCTAAAAGCATCCTTCTTCATTGATGGCCATTAAAAGATACAGTAGCTGTGTAGGTTTTTTTTTTCCCCCAAGAAAACTCTAAAAGTATAGTATTTAAATATAATAAATCTGAAAATGTATTTATTTATTTTCTTTCCAGCTCAGGTGATTGACTGACCAATTAAGTGCCATTTTAATGCATTTCCAATTATAACTGTGATTTTTTTTTTTTGCAACTCGTATAGTAAATGATATAAGCAGGTGTTTAGACTAAGAATAAAGAAAAGCAACTAGACTAACAAAAATATATGAATCCTGCCCACTGCTATGGCTTGCAAATCATATTTTAATACAGTGTTTTGTTAAAATATTGTGTACTGTTATTGTTAGATAATTAAAAATTATGATAATTTATAAAAATATGAAATTAATCAATATTTAATTGTAGCATTTATCTAATCATTTATTTACACCTCAGGTGGTTGACTAATCCAATTAAATGCTAATTTAATATAAAAATAAATTATGGTATTACCATTTAGCCTAAAAGTCAATATTTTGCATTTTGACTGTTTTTGTCTTTTAGTGTTCTTTTAGTTTAAATTATGTCTTGTATTTTAAAAACACTGTGTTTTTTTCTTCTACTTGTAATCACATCAAAACACTGACTGTCAATAGGCAGACAATAAAGTTTATTTTCATCATTTTAGGTATTGCATGAATGAAACATACAGGTGCATCTCAATAAATTAGAATGTCGTGGAAAAGTTCATTTATTTCAGTAATTCAACTCAAATTATTGAGATGCACCTGTACTTAATTATGAACTAAAACGAAAAACTAAAAAAAAATTAATTACTTGAAATAAGATAAACATTAACTGAAATAAAACAAGGCAACAATTAGAAGCAAACAATAATTAAACTAAAACAAAAATAATAATTTTAAAATAAATAATGACAAAAAGGACACTACTAAAAAAACACACACACAAAAATGACTACAATGTTAACTAAAATAAAAATTCAAACACAAAATATAAAAATAAAAACGAATTTAAAAATGATAAAAACTAAAATAGTATCTATATGATATTAAATAATGCTGTCAAAAGAAGGATGGGATTCAGAGGGTGGATTTACTATTGCACGAGACTGAACTAAGCATGTTTTCCTCATCATGCCAAGTCATTTTTATCACTTCATTTTCATTTACACTCATATTTTCTTGTTATTTTCCCAAGCTTATCTTCAAAGGGGTGCATTTTGACCCCAGATGCTCTCTATGAAGATGAAAAAGACAGGGTGAAGAAATGCTGTCTTGTAAATCAAAGAAATTAGCTATTTATAAGAGCGTTAGTTGAAGTATCAAAGCTTTCTCGGGAGTCGATCACAGCGGCTGATGGTACAGTATGTGTTTCTGAAACAGAGCCCAGCAGCGCTGGATAATTTACAATATTTGTTTTTGCATAGTCATGCTTCGATTGAGAGTGTGTTAATGTTTCTTCACCTTATCTCACTAAACAAGTGCCTGTAAGAACTTGTACCTACTTTCTTTTGCACTTTGATAAGGTTTTTGAGTTCTGTTGCTCATTCATTTTTGGTCATATTGTGGTGTTTTTGTTTTGTTTTCTGTCTTGTATTTTAAATTATGTGTTTAGCACTTTGTATTACTGTTATTGCAAATCACCTAATGACTGTGATCGGTGAGTTGTAATATATCTGGAGAGAGCTAAACATATGCATTCCCATTTATTTCAATGGCAGTTGCTTGGCTGGCGAATGCAGTGCTGGAAGTATTGGAGCACCTTAAACTAGCATGGCTTTCATTTTCAATACCGCTGTGTACGAAATATTCAGCTCTGAGCAAAACCAACTGGCTTATGAAATAAAGGTCCCATCTTTATTGCATTGTTTGTTTTTGGTGACAAGAGTAATTGATCAAACCCAGAATTAAAATCGCTGTATTCAGGGACAGCGAGGCTCTCCATTCGCTTTCATTCGATTTGAGCGAGCGGATCGTATCAGTTTGTTTATTGAATCTGCTGCTGAATTCATTTGGTTCAGACCTCGGCACAATAAAACCCAAATTATATCCCTGAGGGAAAGGTTTTAGGGATATTTAATCAGGACAGGATCAGAATTAATTTCGGGTGACTCCCGGGAAGCTTTGCCTGAACTCAATTTGAGTGTTTCTCAGACCTTGAAATGATTGTCAATGGAGAATCACCATTAGACAAACATTTAGTCCGGAAGATTGTTCAGTCCTGTTTGGTTTAGGAAGGTTTATCTTAGACTGAATCTGAAATAGCTTCACTTTTGCTCATATTTAGAATCTGAATAAACTCCTGACCCTAATTATTTGTGCTATAGATCATGTAAGTCTTTGAGGAGAGTAACTATTACTTGCATTTGTTCACAAAAAACACATTTGTGCTTTGCTTTGTGTGGGTGAAACACTTAACAATGCAAACACTGAACGTTTAGTCAGTCATTAGTCTCTTGATTGTGGTATTATATTCTGGCTAATTATCTGTGAAGATTAATTGCATCCTCTTGAGCTGCTTAAAAATGAATGTGAAGGAATATGGAGGTTCTGATTTGAGCTGTCTGTCGTCTGCTTTCAGAATGACACAAAGCGCTGGGAGGATTTCGCTGTATTTGTGGAGCGCTCCAGAACGTCCGACCCGTCTCGCGTGATGCTGAGCATGTAAAGATCCGGACTGAGGTAAGAAGACTTTCATTAAAGTGGTTCTCAACTGATTTTTGCTAAAGGGCTCAGATTTTACAGCTATAGTGCTGAATGAACATGCATACTGTACATACTTAACATACATAAATGATTGTTAATTAAAATACATTATTTTTTTAAATATTGGTTATTTATTATAGATTTATATTAGAATTTTTAATTACATCTTTATTATAAAAACACTGAATGTGTTATTGTTGAACTGTTGTGTTTGTAGTTTTTAAAATTATTGTTAAATTTAAAAAATGATTAATTCAAATAAATTATTGTTTAAATCTTATGTATTTATAATAATTCTAAATATTTATTATAAAAACATTGCATATACTATTAATGAAATTTCTTATGTGTAGCTTAAATGTATTTAAAATATTATTAATATTGTTTATTTATTATATTTATACACAATATAAATATATATTTTCCAGCACGCTGCGGTGGAGACTGTGCTCGCCTTTGAACACCAGCATTGTGCCTTTGCCATTTGTTATTGTTCACCTTCACAGCGCAGTGGCCTTGATTGTGCTGATCTGCTGCATTCGTAATATACTTCAGAATGGGAAGATCAAGTTTGTGCTCTGGCAGTCTTGTTCAATCAGTAACGAAATGAGGTCTTTGTCTAGCACCCTGTCAGATGAGTCTTTCTGCTCAAATTTGGACTAGAAACAGCAAATCTGTGGTGGTTTATGCATGCATGCATGACGAGTCCATGTGATTTCGAGGCTCCAAACTCAGACTTTGTTGTCGAAAAGATAAATGACTGCTGGTGGACTATAAACGAATTCATCTACAGAACGTCCCCTAACCGCAGCCACGTGCACGTAGGCAACATAGGCAACAAAAGCCAATTTGATTTAACCTCCAAAGAGATCCGTGACATGCTCATTTTTTTCTAGGTGATTGTATAGCATTGGTGAGATTGAATGAGGGGCCCCTGGGGGCCGGTCTTGTATATGAAGAGTCAAACATGGAGATTTGTGTGCAGATTGATGGGCCGCCTGCCAATAGTTCATCAGCAGGCTGTACGCTCAGCTGCTCGCTCCGACTCAGTTTTATGATGTCATAATGCCGATGAGTGACCTCCAGTGAGGCAAAACCACCGCTGCAGTTTCATCACTTTGATGGGAGCAGCATCTTTAACTTCGCCAATAACTTTTAGACGGGCGATCCATCCGAAACTACAACTAAACAGGATTTGTGTTGGATTGCACGCTGTGTGCTCGTACTGTGAGATGACTATAAGTAAGCTATTGTTAGGTTGACTACCTTACAAATCTATCTATCTATCTATCTATCTATCTATCTATCTATCGCAACAATAGAAATGTGCCAGATTTAGCCAATGGCTAATTTCTTTAGACCACCTTAAATCTAATAAACATGGTCTAAAAGCCGCAAGCTGCCTATTTTGTTTTCATAGGGTCTATAAAGGACAAAAGAAACTCTTCAAACCCAGGTGAGAATGGCTTGCTGTAACTTATACATGACAAAATCATGATATACAACTCAAAAAAAAGTAAGGACTCTTACAGAGTCTTTCTGTAGGTTCAGTGTGATGACCTGAACTGAAGACGCTTCGTTTGATTAGTCACAATAACGTTACTCTCGCGTCAGGCACTTCTGGAGGAGGAGCTTCTGTCACATATTTAAATCATTTGCGTATGATACTGGCATTTTTGATCAAATTGTGATCATGCTATTTGTTAATTAGTATGTTAGCACTTTTGATGGAAAATCCACAACAGCTAACTTAACCTGGATTTTCCTTTAAAAAATATATGCATTTTCTGCTGATCTCCATGAAATCCCATCATACCTGAACACACTTACAGCAGAGACACATTAACATCAGCGGCATGCTGCAAAACAAAAGCTAAAATCAAGAATGAGCTACAGTAGATCACAGATTTATGCACTGAATACTTTTAGAAATGTTGTGTCAGTGGTTGTGGTTGTATTCAATTGAAAAGATTTGAATTTGTTCGGGCTGAACATCAAGTCTTTTATCTTTGAAGTTCTCGTAAAAAAACATGTCAAAATAGATTTTTATGTTTCTGAAGAAAATGTGAGTGTAGTTCATGTCACAATTAGTGTTTGTCAAATTTTTGTCAAATTCTTGTTTTCTATGCAGTTGCTAGGGTGTTTTAGCATGTTCTGTGGTTGCTAGGTGTTCGGTGTGGTTTGTAGTGTATTGTAATGCATTGTTGCAATGTTCTGTGTGTGTTTTTAGTGCATTGCTATGCAATTGCTAGGGTATACTGAGTGATTTTTAGTTTGTTGCTATGTGGTTCCTGGAGTGTCATAGTGTTTAAACACATTTTCTATGCAGTTGCTAAGATATTAATATTATACAGTTGCTAGGATGTTCTGATTGTTATTTTAACATGTTGCTATGCAGTTTCTAGGGTGTTATGACTGTTTAAGCACATTTTTATGAGGTTGCTAAGATATTAATTTCTATACAGTTGCTAAGGTGTTCTGGTTTTTTTAGTGTGTTGCTATGCAATTCCTAGGGTGTTGTTAGTCTTTATGCACATTTGTTACATGGTTGCTAAGATATTCATTTCTATAGAGTTGCTAGGGTGTTCTGGGGTGTTTTTTGTGCATTGCTGTGCAGTTTCTAGGGTACTATGACTGTTTAACCGCATTGTTAATGTGGTTGCTAAGATGTTTATTTCTATACAGTTGCTAGGGTGTTCTGGGTGTTGCGTGTTGCTATGCAGTTTCTAGGGTAATATGACTGTTTAACCGCATCGTTTATGTGGTTGCTAAGATGTTAATTTCTATACAGTTGCTAGGGTGTTCTGGGTGTTTTTATGTGTTGCTATGCAGTTGCTAGGGTGTTCTGGGTGTTTTTAGTGTGTTGGTATGCAGTTTCTAGGGTACTATGACTGTTTAACCGCATTGTTAATGTGGTTGCTAAGATATTAATTTCTGTACAGTTGCTAGGGTGTTCTGGGTGTTTTTAGTGTGTTTCTATGCAGTTTCTAGGGTACTATGACTGTTTAACCGCATAGTTTATGTGGTTGCTAAGATGTTCATTTCTATACAGTTGCTAGGATGTTCTGGGTGTTTTTATGTGTTGCTATGCAGTTTCTAGGGTGTTATGGCTGTTTAAGCGCATTGTTTATGTTGTTGCTAAGATGTTCATTTCTATACAGTTGTTAGGGTGTTCTGGGTGTTTTCTTAGTGTGTTGCTATGCAGTTTCTAGGGTATTATGACTGTTTAACCTCATTGTTTATGTGGTTGCTAAGATGTTCATTTCTATACAGTTGCTAGGGTGTTCTGGGTGTTTTGTGTTGCTATGCAGTTTCTAGGGTACTGTGGCTGTTTAACCACATTGTTTATGTGGTTGCTAAGATGTTAATTTCTATACAGTTGCTACGGTGTTCTGGGTGTTTTTATGTGTTGCTATGCAGTTGATAGGGTGTCCTGGGTGTTTTTAGTGTGTTGTTATGCAGTTTCTAGGGTATTATGACTGTTTAACCGCATTGTTAATGTGGTTGCTAAGATATTCATTTCTGTACAGTTGCTAGGGTGTTCTGGGTGTTTTTAGTGTGTTTCTATGCAGTTTCTAGGGTACTATGACTGTTTAACCGCATATTTATTGCTAAGATGTTCATTTCTATACAGTTGCTAGGATGTTCTGGGTGTTTTTATGTGTTACTATGCAGTTTCTAGGGTGTTATGACTGTTTAAGCACATTGTTTATGTTATTGATAAGATGTTCATTTCTATACAGTTGCTAGGGTGTTCTGGGTGTTTTCTTAGTGTGTTTCTGTGCAGTTTCTAGGGTATTATGATTGTTTAACCTCATTGTTTATGTGGTTGCTAAGATGTTCATTTCTATACAGTTGCTAGGGTGTTCTGGGTGTTTTCTTAGTGTGTTGCTGTGCAGTTTCTAGGGTGTTATGATTGTTTAACCTTATTGTTTATGTGGTTGCTAAGATGTTCATTTCTACACAGTTGCTAGGGTGTTCTGGGTGTTTGTTTGTTTGTTTGTGTTGCTATGTGGTTCCTAGGGTCTTAGGGGTGCTTATGCACATTTTTTATGTGGTTGCTAAGACGTTAATTTCTATGCAGTTGCTAGGGTGTTCTGGGTGTTTTTAGTGTGTTGCTGTGCAGTTTCTAGGGTGTTCTGAGCCGTATGTCTTGTATGATGGAGTCCTCGCATCCCTGTGATCTTCTGGTCTCTTGTTATGGCTCAGGTTCCTCCTTTAGTGGTCATCTGTGGGATTTCTTCACTTGTTTTCTGGTCCAGCAGGTGAAAATGCTGCATTTGATTACTTGGTAAAGTAACAGCACATTCTCCTCAACAACACATATGATTTGAGGGATCATTCATGTCTGTAGAGCCAATGGTGCGGGACAGGTTATGTTTTAGCAAGCACCACTTATCTCTGTACCCAGCCGTGTGTCTGTGTTGGACAGAAACAGTGTGACTGGTATTATGGGATGTCATTGTAAGTGTGGATGTCCTCTGTACTTCATCCTCGGGCAAAATGATTCAGCAGCTTCCCATAAGAAATGATGAAGCTGCTGAAATGATTCAGCAGCTTCGCATAATGACAGCAGATTAACACCGCATGCTTGCGTTCAGCAGAATCACCACATAAACACACACATTAGCGTTTGGCTGTGTTTGAATAGCTCTTGTTAGAGGACATGACTGAGGATCTTAGCGTTTTCAAAGAACATGCTCTTTAACATTTGTTTGGACGTTGTCAATACTGGATCGATCGACCTCCCACACGGTGCACAGGATTGCAGATTAATTCCTGCAGTTTTTTTTTTTTGTCTGAGATTATTACAAAGGAGTATTGCTTGCACATCTCTCTTTCACTCTCATTCTGTTTAGTGTGTACAGTATGTTTTTTTTTTTTTTTGAGATATTCTGTAAATGCAGATATAGACCGAGGTCTTAACATGTCACATAACATTAAAATTTCCTCTCTGAGTCACCCTCATTTTGCTC